AGTTTCATATCCTTCTGATGTACTGAAATGTGGAAAACAGAAAAACATGTCTATGCTTCATAAACCGCACGTACTACTTCTTTATGTGCCGTGTCCCGCGAGGATGTAGAAAATCACGGCTCTCCACAATTTCCTGTCCTTTCTAGTTCTTAATAAATTGTTTCTTTCTGTTATTTCTCCTAAAACCTGTTGCGCCATTCATTTACTTAAGCTCACTATGTTATGCGTTATTTACCTTTGTCCCTCTCGCTTTCAATTTGTCCTGTGAGTATCAGATTTTCCAAACCCTCTTTCCTCATTATGTACCTTAGAAATTTCAATTGTCTCTTCCTGGTTTTAAGAATTAGTTTCCATTTTATCTAAAACTTTGTCGCTCACATATTCGGTTCATGATATTTTCAGCATCGTTCTGTAGAACCACATTCCTGCTGCTTTAAGTCTCTCTTTCATCTTTAGATTACCGAATGTTCACAACTACTCCGTTTCGTGTACAAAACGTTAACAAAGCAATTTCTTAGAATTAACCTATATCTCAATATTCATATGAAAGTATTTATATAACATTATGGCTAGTGTGAGAATGTAGCGTTGAAAGCTGAGGAGATTGTCCAGCATTCACTGCCATATAAGAGGACAGATATCACATAACAATTCAGTAGGCTTTTCTTTGTTTCTAACAAAGTTTTTTTTTTCTGTTTAATACTCTGCTAGATTTTTCAGTCTTTTTTATCATCTTTGGCTATTCCAATGTGCCTTTGAATTTCAGTGTCTCATTTTCCGTCCTCTGTTAAAACAGATATTTAATTTTTCGTATTTGTTTGAATTTGTTATCTCCGATTTGTCATTTGCATTTTGGGATCATCCTTTTGTTAACAACCATGCATTCTGTCTTCTTGCAGTTGATGTTTAATCCTTTCTTCTCACGTTACTTCAATACCTTCTGTATGTGTTTTTGTAGTTTTCTTTCTGTGTCTGCTATCAAAACTGTGTCATCTGCATATCTGATATTGTTAAGAATGTTGTCGCCATTAATGAATCATGATAGAACCTCTAATTCTCTCAGAATCCCCTCTCTGTATAGGTTGAATAAGTGTTATGGGAACTTACCCATAATAATAATGGACTATTCCTGACATTATGAATACTGCGCCTCTCAAGAGGTATATGGATATATTGTAAGATGAGGAGAGATAATTGAGAGCATATTGTAAGGACATTAGAATAGTGATATGTTGTTGAGATAACATAGTTCACTCTAACCAAATCTGATAGTCATTACTAATACTTCTACTTCTTTGTATTATATTTCTGTTGTAATATATATTTGAATTCCATACCTGTGTTCGTGTTATTCTTTCATTGGTTCTAACCTTAGACCATCACCGTGGTACGAGGAACTTGGACCATAACAAGAAGTCCGGTAAGAAGACACATCCTTGTCTTATACCCCTTTCTATTTTTGTATATCTGCTGAACTCATTTTTCTATGCGCATGTAGGCGGTTTATTGCCAGTATAGTTTATTGATTATTCTAATGTAATTCTCGAATATGTCAGAGTTGCTGAGCACTTCCAACAAGTGTTTGTGGCGTAATTTATCGAACACCTTTGAGTAATAAGATTTATTAAAATGCTTTCTATTACACAGGAAAATATCTTTCCCAAATTTCATCAAACTTTTATAGACAATCAGCTTTCAACGCTACATTCTCACACTAGCCATAATGTTATATAAATACTTTCATATGAATATTGAGATATAGGTTAATTCTAAGAAATTGCTTTGTTAACGTTTTGTACACGAAACGGAGTAGTTGTGAACATTCGGTAATCTAAAACGAGAAGGGTGTACTTAAAAACATAGTCTACCTCCCGGCATTTAAGAATACACAATTCCGGAAAATCCTTGTTGAAAACACAACTATACTTAAACATGAAGACAATAAACAAAAACCAAAAATTCTTGAAGCTTTACACATAAAACAGTTGAAACCTAACCTGAACAAAATAAAATACGAAATCTCCACAAATATTCTTAAATGCATATAATTGATAACAGAAGCCATTAGTTTATACCAACGGCTTCCCATACTTAATACTTTTCGTTTTCACTCTCGCGTGGTCATGTGTGACGTCACGAGTTGCTTCCGCGTCTCGTAATACACGAGTCTGACGTTGCTTTGAAATTTTTCATGCAACAAAAACAGACTATCATTATTGTTTCGTCCGTGTATTGTTTGATATACTGAAATGTAATTGTCATCTTTGATAATGGATTATGTAATCAAAAAGCTTAGATAGGATTTAAACATATATCAATATGGTGATTTCCTTTCGTCTTTCAATGATAATTTTATTAAGCTTATCAGACAATATGAAAGGAACTTACTTAAAATAAATAGACAAAACTTGTCTATATTATTTAATGAAACATGCATTAATATATATATATATATATATATATATATATATATATATATATCATTGATATTTCATCAATTAACTATCATTTTCTAAAGCTTTTCATTAACTTCTTGCGAAGAAAATCTTTCAAAAACCAAACAGACCCAAAGAAGTATTCGTTGCATCCAGATCTTCTGAATTCTATTAACAGAATAAATACCCTTGTGTCTTGTTAATATGTTTAGATTCTAATGTTTTGTTCTTACATTTCGACCAATTAAGTTTAATCTGAACAGAGATATGCTAATACTTAAAACATGCATTAAATTCTGAACAATACAATTTTGGCGTGTGGGCCGGAAGAAGATAAAAATAACAATTATGATGATACAAAGGATGTTCATAGTGAAAAAATATTTATAAAAACAACGTTACTGCAGTAGGATTCCTCAACCTCCCAACAATCTAATCGTTACAGAAATAATAGGTGATTAGTCGAAAATAGTCCGGATTAAATAATACTAAATCACTAATAAAGGCACTCAAATCAACAATAACAAATTCGAAAAGAAAAACTGAAAGGTGTCCTCAACGTACAAGAGAACTAAAGTCTCTGTCACCCAATGGAGGAGAGTCTGGGGATTTAAACTATAGTCTTCTTTAGTTTCAAGAAGGGGTAAAATAAATCGTCGAATGAGCATACATACTCAATCTAAGTTAAAATAATAGACTAACTAAAAATAATAACCTAATCTAACCTATTATTGAACAATTTAACGGACTAAGGTCTTCTTGTCTAGCAAATATTCAGATGTCACTTCAAGTGGCCGTCTTTCACACAGATGCGCAACAGCAATCCTCCTTTCGCGAAATTTCACTGAAGAGAGCCACCTTCTGTTATTTCCAGATTTAGTCATTAAGCTTTAAAAACAATATTATCTGGGAAGAGAATGTTTAAACCCCATGAAATTCATTCCGTATAGATCTCATGAACAATGTTAATCACTATTCTCATAACGCCAAGTAAATACAGGAACACATTCTTGTCAAGTGCCGATACCACGCTGCAACAACAGAAGCCTTAAGGACAAAGAACTTTCCACCGACTATGCGAACCTTGTATCTTCGACCACTGTGAACAATGAGCGTACAGAGCTGCGGTGAAAGAAAGCTTGTCAAATTTACTCCAATCCCAAAGGCGCAAAAAAGATATATTTTTAAACTTTCATTCTTTTTTTTAGAAACATTTTTTTCCTTCTATGTAGCGTAAACCTTCTGGACGTAAGCGATCATGACTCAAAAATTTCTTGTTATTTGCAGCTCTTAGGAAATTTTGTCTTTTCGCTAACTCTCCTAATCCATATTGTGCCAAACATTTACAGAAGCTCGTTAGGTATTTTATGTGCTGCTTTCTTTCTGTTTTCTTTCCATTCAATATATCCTGTGAGTATCAGATTCTCCAAGCCCTCTTCCTTCATTATTTGTCTTAGAAATTTCAACCGTCGCTTTCTGTCGTTAAGTATAAGTTTTTTTTTTGCCATTGTCTCTAAAACTTTGTCGTTCCTCACATGTTCAATTCATGATAATCTCAGAATACTTCTGTAGAACCACATTTCTGTTGCTTCAAGTCTCTTCTTCATCTGCGAGGAGACTCTCCTGCATATAGGCGGGGCGATTTTACATAACAGTTCAGTACTCATTTTTTTTTTACTGCTAACGAATATAGCTTCGCTGTGTCTTTTCTATGAATAGTTTCATGGTAATTGTTCGGGTGAATTCTTTGCAATGGTACTTAGACTTTATGAATTTCAGCCTAATCGCAAGGTCTTATGATTTTATAGTTGAAATGACTAGATGTAAGCATAAGTTCTGCGCTAAAAATTTCTTCTAACGCATTTCTCAATTGTGGAACTCCCTTCTGGTTTCTTTCTTCCCAGTCAACTTTGATCATCAAAAAATTAAATGCAATGTCAATCGTTATCTTCTGTCTTCTTAATTCTTGTTCTTTTATTGTCCTCTCTCCTTAATTTGTGAGATTCTGGATAGATATCTACGAGTGTGACCACACGCAACCAGATGTGACACAGGGCCGTGTTTTTTTTTTTTTTTTTAAGTTGGCTTATCGGCAGTACCGTATGAAAATTCTCAAATCCCCTCGACACTTCACTATTTGGGAACGCCTCAGGCGCCAGGCAATAAACTCAGACCCCCTCCCGAGGGATAAGTAAAGCTTGGAGGGATTTGCCCCTAAGGCTTTGGCTTCAAAGAATCTGAAGAAATCCCAGATATTTTGAATAGGAAATAGTTTGTGTTTTAATATGATAGTTTTTAATAATTTGTGCGTTTATTATTGAATATTGCGATATGATGTTTCAGATTTTTACATAATAATATGTAAACTTCGCTGTACATATAAATTTAAGTATATGCCAAAATTATTACGAATATCAGTTAGCAGAAATTTTATTGTAAGTTGTAAAACACTATGTCGTATCTATTCTTATAGCAATGAATGATGGACAATTTTGCTAGAGATGAAGAGAAGACAGGAAATGAAAGAAATGTAGATCTACTTTTAGATTCTGAAGATACTATGGCTTATGGCCATATCACTTTGAAACACCGGTTCCCGTACGATAATGACGTTAAGAAACGTTGAGCCTAGTCAGTACCTAAATGGCTGACCGCTTGGGTATACCATGTGCTGTAAGCTTGGATGTGCGAGTAGTGTAATGGATAACGGCTCGGAATTGGAGTTCGTCTCCCCGATCTCCAATTCCAGTTGCGTTTGTTGTATTCACTTACGCGCGAATATCTTCTCCCAGCTATTATTATATCAAAAAAAAAAAAAATTCTTAGAATCTAAATATATTTTCTGGCTTTAAATAATCTACAATGCGTTAATAAGACGTCGAAAACGAATCAATAAATCATGGAAAACCATAGTGTGAATATATGATCAATACGGAAGTTTTGAAGAAATATGGCACCTAGAAAGGCATTCATACTAAAGTCAGATAGTGATAGTTAAAATTTTTTGGACACATAACGAAGAAAAATAATCTTGGAAAATATAACATTCACGGACGTAATGATGTCCAGTGAAAGAAATGATGTGTGATATATTGAAGGAAGAGAGACCAAAGAAAAAGAGCAAATACCCTATCCAATGAGTTTGTTTTAATGAATAAAAAGGAAGGAACAAAAAAGAGGAGTAAAGTGTTAAAAGTTGCTGAATGCTACAAGGGACAGGAAATTGTGGAGAGACATCTTAAAAGGGACAAGGCAGGTGAAAACACAGACTTGCGTAATAAAACCTGACATCATGAATATATGTTTAGCAAAGATGGCTGGATGAAGATTTTTTTTTTTATACAACACAGAGGTGGAATGTGTATTTAATAAGATGAACATTACGTTTTGATGCATTCAGATGTGTTCGTTTTCCCCGCTTTCCAATACATATTAACACGATAGGATAGATAAATAAATACGCCATTACATAAATCTTTCGGGCTCTGATGATCACTTCACACATATTTATTTATGCTTTATTTATCCACATAATTGACTTTTTATTGACATTATGATGAAAGCTTTCGAATCAATCTATTTTCCAATTTTGAAAAAACATTACTTATATATATATATATATATATATATATATATATATATATATATACAGAGTGCAATGGGTAAATTGTCGCCATTTTTATTTTTATTTTTTTTCGCGCATGCGGGTTGTTTGTTTTTGTCACCTACACTGTATAGTAGGGTCAGTTGGGCACCGTCTGTGAAAAGAAGACCAACATGACTCAATTCAATCCGCCAGAAATTTGGAAACGACATGCTGTACTGCTTGGCATTCGCGCTGGAAACTCCAATACGAACATTTCGGAGCATTTGGATGTCAATTTGAGGACAATGCAGAGAATTCGGAAATAGTTGGATAAGTCTAACGGAGATTAAGAAAGTGTTTGGAGTGATCACTAGTGATAGCGACGTTATTCCTCTGTTCATCTTCCCACGGAGCCTCAGGCTCAACACGGAGGGTGTCTGCTTGAAGAACCTGTGTCTGACAATAGGACTCTGCTCCAGGCCACATAAGCAGAAGGACCCAGTCATTGCTATTAGACAATTTCTGCGACCACATCAGCCTTAACATCTGACCACCTAACTCCCCAGACTGCGACCCCCTTGATTATTATGTGTGGGGTGCAGTTGAGCGTGTGACCAACAAAACTCCTTGTAATACCAAAGATGAACTGAAGTACTGAGTTTACTATCTCTAGAAAAATGTTTATGAATTAATGCAAGGAATTTTTGTCCTAAATTATTTCTTACCATTCGGTTGTATGGGGGTGTATACCAAATGATTTTCCTATTTCAATTTTTTCTATGGTGTCCATTTTCATTGAGTTTTGGGCATTTATAGCCACTGTTCTCTAGAGGTTTATTATAGAAATTACTATGTTCATAGAATATTTTCTCATTTGCTGAATTTGTACTTATTCTTTTTGGATAGATGAAAGAATATGCTTAATTATCTGTAGTAAACTCAGTACAATTTTTAATAAAAATATCCTAAAGTTAAGTTAAAGTTGTACTAAAAACTTGGAAAGAATTAATAACAAACATAATGCTAATATCCTGAATAAGCACTTATGCCAAAATCAAAAAGAGAAGGTGGAACCAAGATCAAACGTTCTTTAAAAACAATAAATACCGATTCAAACGTCCCTATCTAAATATTTTTGGCACTTAAAAGAAACCAATAAAACACCAACGGTAAAACGGAAATTAATAAGAAAAGCTAAAGCTTGTGGGTTATTAAATGACCATGTCTTTTGTGTATACATGAAAAATTATACATTATTAAGTTTCTGAAAAATAAAAATTTACTAAATCAAAGAAATGAAATAGGTATTTTAGTAGGCACTGTCAAATATTTTTCTTAAGTAATAATTAATTTTGGAAAAAATAAAAAAATAAAAACGAAAGATGAAACATACATATTTATACTTGATCATTAATTAGTAATTAAATTCTAATATATTTGTAAAAATGCAGTATAGTTTTTTTAGAAAGAGGAATGGTACTTTAAATCTGTAGGAATAAAATTTAAATATTAAAAATATGACTTACTCATATTTAAATGACCCTTTTAGAAAATCTTTGTGTATAAAAATATGAAATAAGTGGATAAATAAAAATGCCAAAATTGAAAAGCCAGACAACACGCTGAATAACGGATGTTTGTTTGTGAGCAGGCACCCCCATCCCACCTAAACTTAACCTGACTTTGTAAGTAACATATGTTTGATACATAAGCACCCCTAATCAGAATAGATTGAATTTTCCTTAACCTTAACAACTCAAAATATTAAGATTGCGCTTATAAATTAAGTAAATTTCTGAGAAAGTTATACGTCACGTCGCTTAACAATGGAACGAAACTCTGTATTTTAAGTTTAATTTTTATAATTAAATTTACAACTTTAGTTTCAGTTTTGAAACATAGATATTTCTGTGTAGCGATGGAATCATATTTTTTTTAGAATTATAATATATATACAGTAAGGTTAACCTTTTCAATGTCAGAGGGCCGCTTAAAGTGGAGGGTTATGGTCAGTTGTGCGTATAGAAGTGGAAAATAACGGTTAACCCAAGCCTTGAACAGGCTAAGATTGCAATGATCGGGGAAATATCCTGTTGCAAGTTTGTTCCACAGGGCAGTGGTTTTGGGGATACGGAGGGAACATGGGTGGTTAGTTATTATGTAAGTGGCATGGCGTGTTCTTGTTGCGAAGGTTTGCCAAGGCGGGACCAGATAGTGTATTTTCCGTGGAAATAGCGATAGAGCATTGAAAGGCTTGCAACATCCCGCCTTTGGATGAGAGGTTGAAGTATGGACACGCTTTTGAATTCTATCAAGACTGAAGAGTAAGGTTTGGGTAGCTCCTGCCTAAATATGGCAACAGTACTCCATTTTGGGCCTGATTTGGCTCTTGTAAAGTTAAAGGTTAGCACGAGGAGTCAGGTACTTACTGAAGCGGTACAGAGAGCCGAACATTTTACCTTTATTTTTTTATGTACGAGTTCCACTTGAGGTCGGGTGTGATTTTAAGGCCCAACAGTCTTTCAAGGCACAGTGTTTCCCTGAGAGGACTTCCGTTCATCCTGATTGGTGATAGTTCGGGGTCCTGATCGGCGATGATAGCCAGTTTTTACCCCATTAGGTATTTTGTGTAAGATCGGAAGAGAGATCAGTTGCTAATCTCTGGTCATCGAGAGTTTTAGAGGTGCGGATGTATATAGTTGTGTTGTCAGCATAGATGTTTACAAATGATCTGAGTATATTCTTAGGCAGATCATTTATGTAGATCAAAAAGAGGCTTCACCCGAGGAATGATCTCTGGGGGACGCCTGCCTTGACCCCTAGAGCTCCGGAGGACTGGCAATTAATAACTACCTTCAGGTACGAACCCGTTAAGAAGGATTTTAGTATCGAGAAGTCTCTTCCAGTGATTCCATAACTGGAGAGCATGTGTAGTAAGACTTCGTGTCATACCATGTTGAAGGTCTTTGAGATATCGAGTACCATGGGCCTCTAGATGTATTTGTTGCCAAGCCTCACTGATTCTGAGTGATGGTAGGACGTCGGCAGTGGATCGGGCTGACCAAAACCCATACTGCTCCTCGCTGATGATGTTATATGAGTAAAACTGCTCATATGTAAATATAAAAGTAGGCATTCAGGTCAACATCGAATGATGACTGTCTGTTCCATGCTTATATGCAATCTTTCTACTCTGTGTTGACCTCAGTGTACGCTGTTATATATATATATATATATATATATATATATATATATATATATATATTGTCCCACTCTGAATTGACATATATTGACAACTCTGAATTCAAAACCTGATGGGGTTGTTTGGAGACCTTGTGGCACGTAGTGCACCAGGTCTCTGTATTCAACCCTTCAAAAGTGTGGATGGTCCTGCACGAAACCTTCACCACTATAATCGAATCTCATGTGCCGGTGTCGGGCTGTAAGTTTCCTGAAACTAATCTGCTTGACCCTCATACGTCGAACCCGACAGGAGAATCGATATATATATATATATATATATATATATATATATATATATATATATATATGTGTGTGTGTGTGTGTGTGTGTGTGTGTATACAAAAAGTAATTTGTACCCAAAGAAATGAAACATAGCTTTAAACAACACAGACGTCATACCTTAGATACCTTTCGGCCAACACTTTTTCAAAGGTATTCGTTGGCAATTGGGAATAAAATGAAGACACACTCAATAAAGTAAATGAGGAGGGAAAGGTGGAATTAGATTTCCCCAGAGATTTCAACTGCCACTTCTTGATGTTATGTACAACTTTTTTTATTTCCATTTTTCTAAGGCAGCCCATGAGTCTGCAAAAGGTCAGCATTTGCTCGACATCCATACCTGTTCCTCTGAATATGAAGACACGTGTTTTTCCGTATTACACAGTGCTCGCTCAGTATACTATCTCCGAGTCTTGGAAGCTGTTTTTATAAAGTCTCATCAGCCGAGCCTGTGTAGACAAAAGGAACATTTTTTACGTTCCTTGAGTTTGTTGGAGGGTTTGTGAGTGTCTTTTTTCCATTTTATACTCTTGTGGAACTGGTTATTTTCACCCCGCCTTGTTCAAT